GGATGTCAGTGGAGAAAATATGGTCAAAAGGTAACTAGAGATAACCCCTCACCAAGAGGTTACTTTAGATGCTCTTTTGGCCCGACATGCCCAGTTAAGAAAAAGGTATACGCATACATGTGCTAACTAATTCTCTACATAATATATATATTTTTGATTAATTTATGCAAATCTTTTAGGTTCAAAGAAGTGCGGAAGATAGTTCAATTTTGATAGCAACATATGAAGGAGAGCACAACCATTCATTAGGTTCTCCTAAAGAAGAAACACATACTGGTTTGAGTCAATGTGGGTCAGTGTCAACCAATACTTCAAAGCCTACCATCACTCTTAATCTTACGCAATCAGAGATAGACTTGAAGAAATTTCAACAGTTTGTTGCGGAGAAATTAGCGTCGTCCCTGACAAAAGAACCAAGTTTCATGGCGATGATAACAACTGTGATTTCTGAACAACTTCACTAATTCACCATCAAAGGAGCCGTGCACTTGTGTAAATAGTGCTTCTGTACATAGGATGTCCTGCAGTATTCAGTTAGGCCTTTTGAGTTGGTTTTTGAAGGATCATTGACATGATGGTTCTTGAAAAGAAAATATTTATAATGTCTGAAGGTATTATTAAGTCCTATAGAACTGGAAAGATGGTGAATTAGTTTGAGTACTTCTTTTAATGCAAACTTGTGAGTACGTGTTATGGCTTTCAAATGCTTTGAAAAATATTTGAAGGTAACCATACATCCCAGAAATGATACTCGCAACTTTTTGGATGTCTGCATTCTTTGTCCAAGAAAATCAGGCTTGGCTCATCCTTAATCTGCTAATAGAAGATATAACTTATGGCCTCCTGTAATAAACCAGCAACAATGCGTCAGTGTAGACAACAAAAGTCCTATCACTGCTGGGAATAATTAGCACGGGTGCTGAAGTCAACTTAGCATTCAATGTCTCAAAGGCCTCCTGGCACTCTATGCCCCAAATAAATTGTACGCCCTTCTTAGTAAGGCGTGTAAGTGGCGTCGCGATTTTCGAGAAATCCTGAATAATTTTTTTTGTAATAGCCCGCCAGACCTAAGAAGCTACGAATCTCGATAACGGTCTTCGGCGGCTCCCAATCAAGAACGGCCTCTACTTTAGCCGGATCTACTGTAATGCCCTCCCGGCTAATAACATTGCCCAAAAATCTGACCTCCGATAACCAAAATTCACATTTGCTAAATTTAGTGTATAACTGATGCTCCCGCAAAGTCTACAATACCAACCGCAAATGCTGCTCGTGCTCGGCCTCTGACCTCGAATAAATAAGAATATCGTCGATGAAATCTATCACGAACTGGTCTAAGTATGGATGGAAAACATGATTCCTAAATCCATGAATACTGCGGGTGCATTGGTCAGTCCAAATGGCATGACAAGAAACTCGAAAGACCTATATTGAGTCAGAAAAGCGGTATTGGAAATATCCATCTCCCGAACCCGCAACTGATGATTACCAAAACGTAGATCTATCTCCGAGAAATACCGTGATCCCTGCAACTAGTCGAACAAGTCATCAATCCTCGGTAGTGGGTACCTGTTCCGAATAGTGACCTTGTTCAACTCACGATAATCAATGCACAAACGCATACTCCCGTCCTTTTTCTTCGCGAAAAGGACCGGTGCTCCCCACGGAGAATGACTCTGATGAATGAAGCCCTGAGACAATAACTCATCTAACTGGATCTGGAGCTCCCTCATCACAATAGGCGCCATACGGTAAGGAGCTCAGGAAATCGGCACGGTGTCTGGCTACAACTCTATGCAAAAATCAACCTCTCTCACAGGAGGTAAACCTCGTATGGCCTGGAAGACATCCTGGTACTCTAAGACCACTCACGTATCACTCAAATCTGCGCCCCGATCCCACAACATCACCTCCTCGACGTATGCCAGAAATGACTCCGTAATCAAGTTGCCTCGTGAGGTCGCTACCACCAACTCAGATCCATCACTAGCTCGCAAGCTGACTGTCTTCGCAAAACAATCGATACTCACATAGTAGGAAGATAACCAATCCATACCAAGGATAACATCAAACTCAGACATACGCAACATGATGAAATCAATCACGAATTCAGAATCGTCTAAGCTGACGACACATCTCCTACAAACACTCTCTAAAAGGGACACCTCTACTGTGCTACAAGCTGAAGTCTAACCATAAAATTATAGGAGATAAAAAAATACAAAGCGCCAGAATCAAAAAGGATATGTACTGGAAAAGAGTTCACAAGGAACGTACCTTCCACCACTGCTCTATTCTCACCATGGTCGCGAGGGACAGCTGCATAAACTCTACAAGTAGCCGAAGGATCCTGCACTGCATCTGCTGCTCTGTTTCTAAACCTGTTGCATTTGAAACAAGTCCCCTAAAATTTGCGTTGTTGTTGTGCCATTTGATCCTGCTGGTGTTACTTCTTATGGGGACGCTGTTGATGTGGACCCTTACCTTGCTGTTGGGGTCGTCCTAAGCCTGCAAAAGGTCTCTTACCTTTACCTTTGTCCCCAGACTATCCTAATTTAACATTGCCATCCTTTCCCTTAAGGAATATAGTTGTTATATTGTAGTTTGATGCTAATATAACTTTGTCCCCAGACCTTTGTCACCAGACTGTCCTAATATAACTTCGGGTCTTGGAGGTGTATTGATGCAGACCCAGAAAGTTGTGTCCTATATTTCGAGGCAGTTAAGGGCTCATGAGTAGAATTATCATATGCATGACTTGGAGCTAGCAGCAGTGGTCTTTGCATTAAAGTCGTAGAGGTATTATTTATATGGGGTGTAGTTTGAGTTATTCACAGATCACCAGAGCTTAAAACATCTCTTTTCATAGAAAGAACTCAACCAGAGGCAGCGGCGATGGGTAGAGTTTATTAAGGATTATGAGTTTGCTATATAGTACCATCCGGGAAAGGCGAACTTGGTAGCAAACGCGTTGAGCAGGAAGTGTCATCGCGAGCTTGCAGCTTTGAGGTGTTCATTACATCTAGATTTTTATACCCTCAGCCACTATGATTTTAGGCCAGAGATTAGGGGGAGTGGTGTTTTCTTAGGATCTTAATCAGTGCAGCCATCTTAGAGCGATACAGTGGTCGGAGCTCAACTAGAGGACTCTAGGATTCAAACCCATAAGGGGGAGATTTTCAAGAAACCCAATGGATGGGATCCGCTATTATGTGGATCTGAAATCTAGGCAACGTCGAGAATAACAACGGCGAACAAACAACCCCTCCTCCAAAGCAGAGAAGAATGAATGAGTCCGAGTCAAAAGGACCCGCTCTAACATTGAGGAGCGAATCCAGAAGTGCCGCGCGTTGCTCGCGTACGCCCAAATCCTTTTGTAAAAAGCAAAAGAAATGCAGAAGGAAAAGGCGGTTAAAAAATCACCCAAGCACAAACGAGTGTGGGTGCCGAAGGCGAAGTCAGTGCCTAAGGCAAAAGTGGACGAGGTTACCGTTCAGCCTTCGTCAACTTCAGATCCCCTTTCCACTGTCCCCGTACCTCCGACGGAACCATATGGTAGTGTGGATCTCACAAAATTCAGAGTTACTCTGAAAGACCGCCTTGGTCCTCTCCCTGAAGATCGAGGTAAAATACCTGTGAAGGAGCGATTGGGGCTGTTGAAAGGTTCCCAAATGACAATTCAGGCTGGGGATCATACTAATCCCCCTAATAACAACAAAGGGAAAGCCCCTATGATCGACCTCATCGGATTGCGAGTCAAAGTTTAAGAGCCCGTTAGAGTTTCACGCTCACAAAGGTGTAAATCTGAACGAGTGACTCTTGGAGACGCCAATGAAGCGTCGTATCCCCAAAGGGAAACATGTTCGTCCGATGACGACGTTATACCTGGGAAGTCATGCCAACACACGATGGGTTGCTCCGGTTATCAGACCGACGAGTTGTACTATCGGGCTGGGGGTACAAATAAGTCCCAAAAAGGAAATACCCGAGACATGCACTCGCACAGTCCGTGTGCCAAGATAATCAAGGCGGTGTTGTCAGAATGCTGATGTACTAAGGCCTCACAAAGGGTTTTAGTGTTTGAAAGAATCTCCATCGGAACATCTGAGGCTAAGCCGAGGCATTTTCGTAGAAGAAGGTCAACCAACACGAATAATGAACTCTTACGAGTGACTATCAACATGGTCGACAAAGGCAAATTCGTGCGACACTTCAGTCCTGAGCCTTTTGCAGAAGTATCTCAACGTATTACTTGGCTACGATCTAGAACTGTCAGACCTAGACCTAGAAGGTCACGATCCTCGGATGACAAAATATCAGATGCTTGCTCGGCATTAGCTTCTGATGATACATCATCCAGTACAGGACGATCTTACGAATCGTTCATGATTAATGTCGAACAAATGGCTAAGATTCTCGAGGAGGTTTTAACCAAGCAGAAAGAGAATTTTAAATTTGAAATGGAGATGGCTATGCAGGAAATGAGAGATATGAACAGCCAAAAAATTACAGCGCTGACGAATCAGGAAGGAGAGTCCAGTCATCATAATAACCCTAATCTGGTTGACAGTGATCTGGAGGCAGATAAGAACGCTAATGCAGAAATCCCTCCCGTTGATAACAATGCTGGGGGTGGACCCTCAGATGATAACAATACGAAGGAGGACCATGTCACTTCTCCCCATAATCGCTTAAAGAAAGATATGAGTGAGGATAAGAAGATGAGGGACTTTGAGAGCAAAATCAACGCGTTGATGAGTGCTCAGGAGGTAAAGAAGTCTGGAATGCCATGTCCATACCCGAGAGAATAGGAATCAATCCCGTACCCGGTAAAGTTTAATTTAATCAAGTTCACGCCGTTCGACGGAAAGGGTTCCCCCATCCAGCATTTGATATATTTCAAATCCCATTTGGGAATAATCTTCGATAATGAACCTCTAATGGTACGGTCATTCGTTGGCACTCTTCGTGGAGCGGCTTTCGATTAGTATCGTCGCCTCAAGCCGGGGAGTATCAACAGTTAGGACGATATGGAAGACATATTCCTTACGAATTTCTTTGATGACGACAACGAGGTTTCAATCGGAACGTTGTTTGATGAGAAACAGAAGGACGAAGAGTTAGTAGAGAATTTTGTTAAAAGATTCCAGAACAAAGCGATAAATTGTCGAGACCCAGTAAGCGAAGATTTTATCCTCGAGACTTGTCACAACAACCTTTCGCTGGATATCCTGAAAGCCATGGGAATGGCACCATCCAAGACTTGGAAGGACTTGAAAGTGCGAGGAAAACGAGCCGAACGTTTCCTCTAAAGAAAGAAGACCGAAAGAGGTCAAACGGCGGCTAATACCCTGAAGCAGAATTTTGTTCCTCGAGGTAAAGAGAAAGCCCAGGCAAATGCGGTGGATGTGAATAAGGCGTTCAAATTGCAACCATAGCAGCAACAACAATCGCAAAAAGGGCCTCAACAGTCGCAATGGCTACAGAGGTCATAAAAGCCAAAGACTACCGAACCAAAATTCCCAAAAGTTTATTCTTTCAGGGAAGATGAGGTTCCCGGTCTCTTCAAACACCTTGTGGAGAATAACAAGATCAAGTTTCCTCCAATCTAGGATTAGGAAGATGCCAAGAAGGTTAACGATCCGAAATACTACGCATTCCACAGAGCGGTGCATCATCCTACCAAAGCATGTTACGCCCTCAAGGATAAGATCCAAGCGTTGATCGATGTTAGAGTTCTTACGGTGAAATCATCCAAGGAGA